TTGTGGGTCACTGCTGAGTGCCTGTGCCGCAGGGGGGACACCCCTTGGTGCGACCAGCTCTTGCCAATGAGGCCGCACCGTGGCTTTCAGTTATCCAAATTGCCAAAAACCAGGACAGGTGCGTCTGAGTTCAAGTGCCTGCTGTATAAATAACTATGAACATGGTGTCGCTTAGTCTCTGTCCCCTAAGGCACTAATGGTGGCTTGCCCAGGGTGGTACTGGGGGGGGGTCGCAGTTAACCATGAAGATACATGAGCAAACATGACGTGTGGGGGTGGTCAGTGGAGAAGGGGGAATCATTCCTCCCATCCCGGCCAGGCCTTGACAGCTTCCATAACCGCCGTGGGCCTAAGCGTGATGTTTTCCCACCTGCAGGCCTCCACTGAGATAGTCTTTCCTCTCCTCCCTCGGCCCTTCCTGTTAATTCCTGCTGTCCTCATCTCTCTCTCTGGACACTCCCACAGCACACATTTCTCTCTTTGGGGATGATGGTTTATGGGACACAGACTCCCAGGCCTGTGAGGAGCTTGGGGACAGAGCTGTGCCTTCTGTGGTTATGTCAGACACGGACACCTTACTCATGCAAGACCTGGGCAGGAGCCAAGGACGACTGATCAAATACATGGATCACGCAGAGGTGGTGTCTGGAGCACCTCGTCGTCCCTCAGTGTGCTTTCGGCTCTGAGTGCCGGGTAAAGCGAGGTCCTTCCAGCCTGCTAGCATCTGTCTGTCATCCTCTGGCAGGTCCAGAAAGGAGCAAAAACACGCGTGGTCTGCAGGGGCTCACACAGAGCCAAAACGAGGCCAAAATAGGGCACCAGAATACCCTTCTCCGCCTTCATTCTGTTCTGTTGCTCTCAGCACAGAGAAGCCACCTTCTTGGGGTGGGAGCTGGTCTGGGTTGATGATGGCCCTGGGCTTGGGCTCCCTGCTGGGCACGCTGGATGCACACTCAGCTCCCCCCGCACCCACCCATGTCCGCCACGTTGCCTGCAGCCTAGCACTCCCCAGGGCTATCTGTGTTCCACCTGCAGGCCCTTCTGGGACAGCCCCCTCCTGCAGGTACTTCTGGCTGAGACACGCTCTGTCCTTTGCCCTTGCAAAGGGTCCCTCCAGCCAAGTTCTCTGTGTGGAGCCTCCGCCAGGGGCGTGTCTTGGAGGGATGTCCCTGCCCTCCCAGCTGCGGCCTCGGGATCTCCCATCCCAAGCTGCCTCCCTTCCCTTCCACTCAGCAGGCTGGCTCTGTGTCCCAGCCTGGCCTTGGGGGGGCGGGTTAGTGTGGGGGGGATGCTCTCCTTGCACAGCCGCCTCCCCTGACCCGAGGGCCTGACATGACCTTGTCCCTTAGCCCTCACTCACTGGACGGCTGACTCATTCACTCATTCACTCACTCACTCACTCTTTAGCCATTCATTCACTCACTCACTCATCCACTGACTCATTCACTCATTCCCTCCCTCACCCACTCACACATTCACTCACTCACTCATTCCCTCACTTGTCCACTCCCTGTACACTCACTCACTACTCATTCACTGACTCATTCCTTCACTCACCCACTCCTTATTCAATCTCTCCCTCACTCACCCACCGATTCATTCATTCATCCACTCATTTATTCATCACTCACTCACTCGCCCACTCATTCGTTCACTGACTCATTCATCCACTCACTCACCCACTTCTTATTCATTCACTCACTTACTGCTCATCCCCTGATTCATACACTCACTTGTTTATCCAATCACTCACGCACTCACCCACTCACACACTCACTGACCCATTCATCTGTTACTCACACACTCACTCATGCACGAGCTCATTCTTCATGCGCGCACTCACCCACTCGTTATTCATTCACTCCTCATTTGTTCCTTTGCTCACTCATGCACTCACTTATCCACTCACTCATGCACTTATTCATTCTTTCCTTCATTCGTTCACTGACTCATTCATCCACTCACTCATTTATTCAGTCATCCACTTGCTCACTCATTCACCCACTTCTCACTCATTCCTTCACTTACTCACTCATTCATTCACCCGCTCACTCGCCCACTATCTCATTCATCCCCTAACTCACTCCTTCACTCACCCACTCACTCATGCACACATTCACTTGCTCATCCACTCTTGATTCACTTCTTCATTCAATTCACTCTCTGATTCACTCGTCCTCACACCCACTCACCCGTTCACTGGTTCATTCACTCTTGATCAGTTTCTTCACTTAATTCACTCACTCATTCACCCACTCACTCATTCACACACTCACTCGCTCATTCACTTATTCATCCACTCTTGATTCATTTCTTCTCTTAATTAGTTCACTCACTCATACATACTCACTCACTCAATCATTCATCCACTCTTGATTCATTTCTTCACTTAATTCACTCACTCATTCACACACACTCATTTACACATTCACTCGCTCATTCACTTATGCATCCACTCAATTCATTTCCTCACTTAATTCACTCGTTCACTCACTCATTCACACGCTAACTTGCTCATTCACTTATTCATCCACTCTTGATTCATTTCTTCACTTAATTCACTCACTCATTCACACATTCACTTACTTATCACTTATTCATCCACTCTTGATTCATTTTTTCACTTATTCACTCACTCACTCATACACTCACTCACTCATTCACTCACTCGCTCGTTCACTTATTAACATACTCACTCATTCACTCATTTACTCACTCCACTCATCTACTCCTTATTCATTCACAGCAGCATATAGCGTCGAATAAGTGAATAAGCAAATAACGTGTGAAGACATTGAACTGTGCCGTTCCACCCAGACCCCCAGTGTAATGGAGCTGCCAATGCATGGTCCTTCACGAGTGATGCTACCCCTCAGGGCCACGTCCAGGTTCATGTGCTGCGCTAACTGTCCCAGGGCACATGCAGGCCCAAAGTAATGAGACTTGTTGCCACATAAGGTTTGCCACAGGAAATCAATTCCTGCTCTCTAGTGATCAGCTCACGCGGCCCCCAGGTGCTGTCTGTGAGGGGACAGCCTGAGAATCCAGGCAACTTACATTTTCAGCAAAGCTGAGTGAAGGGAGGCTTCCAGGGAGGCAGTGGCTTTCATTTCTTGGGGGTTCTGTCCTCTTCATTTTTTGTTTTTTTTGGACACAATCTGATTTTTATTTGGTCTTTGAACAATGGCTAAAAAAAAAATCTGACTTGGAGGCCACAGATATACTGAAATTTTACATGCTTCTCTCTCATCCTACTTTGAAAAGAAATCTGGTCTTACAAAGGTCCCCTAATCAGACCTGCCAAACCAGGCTTTAAACAATCCTGATTGTTCCCCAGTTTGAAGGCTTTGCTGGGGCCCAAGGTGCAGGGGGAGGGGCCTGTTGATTCCATCTAGCACATGAATGGACACATCCTCAGAGGCAGAAGCTGGGCATGGAGTGGAACTGCCCACTGTCAGCCACATCAGCCGCCTTGGGCTGAAACTCACAGAGGCACCAACCTCCATGAGGACACAAAAGAAGACAGAAAGCATCACGTAGATTTTAAAAAGTTCTGTGCTTTGAAGTGTATTTTTATTTAAAAAAAAAAAAATTCCATTAAGCCCGGGCATAGTGGCCCATGCCTGTAATCCCAGCATTTTGGGAGGTCAAGGTGGGAGGACTGCTTGACACTAGAAGTTTGAGATCAGCCTAGACAACACAGTGAGACCTTGTCTCTATAAAAATAAAAAAATTAGCCAGGCATGGAAGCACACAGCGGTAGCCCCTGCTATGTGGGAGGCTGAAGTGGAAGGATCTCCTGAGCCCAGCAAGTCGAGGCTGTGTGAATCATAATGGTGCCACTGTACCCAGCTTGGGTGACAGAGTGAAACCCCCAACTAAAAAAAAATTGTTAAAATTCTCCAAAGTCCTTCTTTAGAGTCAATCATACTCAGTGATTTATCACAGAAACAAAGAACAGAGTTCCATATGTTCTCACCCATAAGAGGATTTTGAACAATTATAATGCTGTAAGAAAGCACTTGGCAGTAATGGGAAACTGTCAGGGGAGGGGGTGTGGGATTGGCAGTTGAGGGAAACTGCTAAGGGAGGGAGGGACATACCTCATCAACAAGGGTACCTGCATGATCAGTGTTTGTATACCTAACCCTGAATTATACCCCACAATAAAAATTATTTATAATAATTTATAATAAAAATTAAAAAAAATTCTCCAAAGTTAATCTGTTAGGACACAAAAAGAAAATCCCAAATGTAATTATTTTCGTGTTCACCTAAAGGCAAGGACTGAAAGCAACTGATACCAAGGAGGTATGTTCTTTCAAACACAAACAATAGCCTGGCTTTTTAGACACAGCAACCCCTTGATCAGCGGCTGTGTCAGAGCTGGCACCTGGGCAGAAACGAGGAGTTGGCTCGCAGCTCGGTGGGTAGTGAGATTCGGGAGCTTTTCCCACTGTGCCCAGCTTGGCTCTTAGAGCTGGAAACAGAGGCAATGCAGTTGCCTTGAGAGGTGCTCCAGGCTACCGTGCAACAATAGGGCACTGGTGGCGAAAAATGTGACTTTTACTGTGAGGGTGGCAGCCCGACTCCAGAGGACACATGCAGCAGCAGCCCAACCCTGAGCATCCTGGTTGAGTGGTCTTGGGGCTCTCATCCACAGCCCTTGTGGGTGCAAGATGACAATTCTTCCTCAGGATCAGTCAGAAGAGTGCCATCCCCCCACTTAAGCCCCATCTCTGACAGGCAGGGGAAGTTGAAGGAAGAAACTAGGGAATTCAGGCCTGCAGCGGATAGGGAGGGGCGCTGCCTCTTCTGTGTCCCTAAGCTGTCAGTCTTTCAGGGGTCCCCAGAGTTCTGCCCGAGGGGGCCTCATCTGGTACTCATGCCGACCTGCTCACAATCTGGACACCTGGGAGTATGCATGAGCAGCTGTGTGCTCCCTGAGCCCCACCTCCCTGTCATGTGTGTGCTCCCGGGGACCATGGCATGCGACTTACATTCCAGTCTATGGTGACAAAGAAAGGATGGCGTTTAATTTCCTCTACTCCATCAATGCCAGCACCTGTTACAACAGTAAGCAGAGGTCATGCATCAGAACACAGCCAAGAGGACAGTTGCCACTGATAGTTCCTAATACAGCAGTGGGGGACAGGGGTGCACAGATGTGAATCCTGAGGGTCCTCCCTGTTGGGAGAAGCCCAAGTGGCTGTCTGCTCCTGCCTGGGGCTCCTGCCTACCTGCCGGGGCACCTGCCCACCTGCCCTGTCTGCAGCTCATGAAGCCATGCCTCTGCCTGAGGGCTGATGACTCAGGAAGCTGGGTGGGCAAGAAGGTTGGGTGGGTGAGAGGAGGTGGAAAGAAGAGTGGGATGGGCCAGTCAGAGGCTGCTGGCTCCAGGTGTGGGGATGTCTGGACACTGGGCCTCACAGGGCTGATCTGGGGTTTCCCCAGGGAAGGGAAGGAGGCCAGAGATGCAGGCCTGAGTCCTGGGGATGCCACAGCCTGGCCTCTGCCACACCTATCCACACCCGTACCTGCTCAGACAGGTGGTTGTCTCCCTGGAGACTGCTTACAGACACGCTGCATCGTCCATGATTGCCACCCTACCTCTTTCCTTACCTTGGGGCTTACATCAAAATCCCAAGGCCCCGCGGAGAGGGAGGGAGGAGTGGGAGGAGCATGGAGGCCTCTTAGGGAGGAGATATGATCCCACCTGACACTGTCATGGTGGACCTATGTCACTACACACCCACCAAAATCATCGCCATCCACCAGCGTGCACCTGAGTGTGAACAGGGACTTTAGCTGGTGACAGTCAGTGTTGGTTTGTCAACTGTACCAAATGTGCCCCTCACAAGAGCTGTCACTATGAGAGGAAGCTGTGGGGGTGAGGGGCTCCCGGGAAACGTGCTGTGGCTTCTGTAAACTTAAGAGCTGCCCTCAAAGCAAAGCCTGTCAATGAGAAGACAGAATCCAAGGCCCCAGGGCTCGTGCTTTCTCCAGGATAGAAGGCCAGAGAGGAGCCGGTTCTCCTAGCGGTGAGTCGGGAATGGCAGGTTTGGTGAGAATGGGTGCAGGACACAAAGTGGCTGGGGCCTCCTGCCTGCCTGGATCCATGTCTAGGAGCCGCTGGATCCTGAGGCAGGGCTGCCCCATCTGCTGCCAGGGGTACTTTCTGATGCCAGTTCCTAACAGCCCTGCTCCAAGTCATAACCTTGTCACACTGTCTACACCCACCCAGCAGAGGCAGCTGACACTCCGGCTCATACCTCAGCTCACACCCCAGCTGTCACTCCAGCTCATACTCTGGCTCACATTCCGGCTTCGCTCATACCTCAGCTGACCGCCCACTCCTGGCTCAAATCAGGGCTCACACCCTGGCTTGGCTCACACTCTGACTTGGCTCACACCCCAGCTCAGCTCACACCTCAGTTCACACCCCAGCTCACACCCCAGCTCTCACACCTGGCTTACACACCCATTCACACCCCAGTTCTCACTCTAAGCTCACACCCTGCCTCACACCCAAGCTTTCACTCTTGGCTCACATCCCAGCTCACACTCCAGCTCAGATCCCAGTTCTCACTCCCACAGTAGTGGGAGGGCCTTGGACCCGGCAGAGAAGCTGATGAGTAGGGAGATGTGAAGGGCAGGGCAAGGCCGCCCAGAGTCTCTGTGGTTACCACAGGAGCTGCCTGGCCTGTCCTGCCTAAAACCTCAGTGGCTGGCCTGTGAAGGGGGTGCAGGTGGAGCTGAGCTCCTCCCTACCGGTCACTAGGAGTTACAGCAGATGACGCCCTTGTGGGCTCACCACGCTGGTGTCCTGGCCCTTCCGACCCTTTGTCCCAAGCACTGGCTACGATATGGACACGCCTGTCCCACAGAGAGGTCGGGAGCAGCTGCAGCCTCCAGGTCTCCAGGTGGACAAAGGCTCCGGGCTACCTCCCTCACCCCTGGGAGCCCAGGCAGGCCACATGTCCAGAAAGAACTGATTTGATGAGACATCCGGATGTGCTCTTACACTGCTCATAAACAAATGGTATTTGGGAACTCACCCTTGGATATGATCTTGCACCTGGGAAGGAGTCAGAGGGGGGTCTCAGACTGGGGACTGCTCCTTCCGGGGACATGGTACACCAGGCAGATGCAGCACACTCGTGTCTCAGGAACCCCATGCACTGTTCCCACTTCACAGAAGAGGAAACTGAGGCAGATGTAGGTTGTGTAACTTGCTCAAGGTCATACCAGAGGCCATGAGTTATAGAAATGGGGTTTGGAGGCGGTCTGTCACACTTAGTGACATGTCTCTCTTCTGATGTGAGCCTTTCTTTTGAGGACACTCTGGATTTTCCAGTCCACCTCCCTTGTTCTCCTATAAAACCTGAGCCCAGAGAGCTGAGGACAGGTACTTAAATGGCTGCTTTGATGAAACTTTCAGAATAGATGGTCTGACTTCCCACACGCCCACTCATGTGAAGACCTCCTCTGATGATGGTCAGACTCCAGACTGAAAAGTCCTTCCACCATGGTGACCTAGTGAGAGGAAGACCTGCCACTGGCATGCATATCTCCCTGGCTCTCCTGCTTGGTGACCACTGGGTGCCCGGCCAGAAGCCCTGTCGAAAGGCAGGTTATTTGAGCAAGCAATTCCGAGGCCCCAGGGCATGCACCTGTCTGGCACCCTGTCGATCTCTTTGAAGAATCTAATTGACATTTTGTGCCCATTACATTTCACTCTCATGTGTCATTTGCAAACACGCTCTGCAGGAACAGTAAAAAGCGAGGAGCAAAGGAAATACAGACACGGCGGAACCCACTCTGTGATAAGCATGTGCTGGGTTTTCTTACATCACGGAGTCAACACGGTCTTATCTTCACCTTCCTACAACCCTGAACATTTACCATAATACTATAAGAAAGGAATTGGCAGTAGCTGGAACTTGCCAGGGGAGGGGGGAGGTGTGGAAATCACCACATACACAACATCAATAAGGGTACCTGATCTCAAACCAGGCAGAGTAGGGACCAAAGGGAGGCCTGAACTTCACCTGTATAATACCCACTTGCATACCTCATCCTGAATTGTACTTCACATCTTAAAAAAAAAAAATAAACAAAGTATTGCTGTAGAAAGCAAAAACAACAACAACAACAACAACTTTGCATCATGTTTGTGGTTTGAGGCCTCAGCAGGCAGAGTCAGCAGTGTGTTAACACTCTGGTTATTACTAAAAAAATCGCAAGTGTCCCAAAGGGAAACACACAAATAGTGCCCTCAGCTCTTTGAAACCTGCATCAAGCCTCCCGGAATGGGAGGGTTTATCCTTTTGGATTCGAGTCCTATTTAACCTCTCCTGAAATTTGTTATAATAGGCTGTGAGATAATAGGCTGTGAGATAAAAACTTGGCTACCCTGTTTTTATCTCATCTGGACACATTGGACAGGTTGCAGTGAGCAGTTGATCAGTCAGGAAGTATATGTGCTGATATCTGAATCTCAGCCGACTCACTGTGGAATCCTGGCTGATGACATGGAACATCTCACTCAGTCCTTGGATCTAGGTCACAAAGCCTGGGCATGAACACAAACTGGACAGAAACGTCTAGAAACATTTAGAATGGAATAAGACTTCTCTCATGTCAGACATGGAGACTTGTCATTAAGTTCCAAAGCCAGAGAAACAGGACTGTGAAAGTTGAGTGAGAAGTAGAGTCAATAATTCATACTTGGCTGGGCACGGTGGCTCACACCTGTAATCCCAGCACTTTGGGAGACAGACGCAAGAGGACTGCCTGAGTCAACAGGCTCAAGATCAGCCTGGACAACTTGGCAAAGCTATGCCTCTACAATAAATCAAGAGATTAGCTGGGTGTGGGGTGCGTGCCTGTGGTACCAACTACTTGGAAGGTTGAGGTGGAAGGATCGCCTGAGCCCAGCAGGTCGAGGCTGTGGTGGCCGTGAATGTGCCACTGCATTCCAGCCTGGGTGACAGAATGAGACTCTGACTCAAAAAAAATAAAATTAATACTTTTTTTTCGGAAGTAAGAACACCTAATTATGCTTGTTCTAATCAATTTTGGTCTCTCTCCAAACCAGGATATCACTGAACATAGTTATCCAAGTCTCAAATTTCCAACACTTTGGTTAAGGGTGTAATTTGGCAATGAATTGGAACTTTCTTATATCAATGTACAGTTTTAAAATGCAGCATAGTGCCTAGGATAGGATTTATTTTTGCATTGCACTGATTCTATGCAGCTCTTAACTTCACATTTTTAACAAAGTCATCCACTCATTTCATTGTGAGCTTCTAAATTCTCCGTAAACTGTTCCCAAAAGATTTAGACAGCTGCCAAAAAAATATTTCCATTGAGTCTTTGTGTCACAGATAAACTTTGGGAAATGGTTAATTCCTGGATTCTTTGGGACACTTTTGAAATGTTTACATTTTTACTGTTTTAGAGTCACACAACATTCATTTCTCATTCTTTTGGGAGTACTCAGAATTAGCTCTGTTGATTGCTTGTTTTCCATGCATGCTGCAAGTTTTTTCTAACTGGTGTATTTTTATTTTTATTTTTTTGAGACAAGGGCTTGCTCTGTCATTCAGGCTGGAGTGCAGTGGCACAATCATGGCTCACCACAGCCTCAACTTCCTGGGCTCAGGAGATCCTTCTGCCTCAGCCTCCCAAGTAGCTGGGACTACAGGCATGTGCTACCACACCAGGATAATTCTTTTTTTTAAGAGATAAGGTCTCACTACATTGCCTAGACTGGTCTCGAACTCCTGGGTTCAAGCGATCCAACCTTCCTTGGCCTCCCAAAGTGTTGTGATTCCAGGCATAAGCCACCATGCCTGGGCCTGGTATATGTTTAATGTCCAGTCTACAACTGTCCAGGGTGACTTCTGTGATGGATTTAATTACCAGTCTGCTTTTTAATTTCTTAGTCACCTACAGGTTATCTACACATTACATTTTAGTTTTAAAGTCTTTCTACCAATTTGAGATTTCATTCATTTCATGTTTACAAAACCCTTTGCTTGGCGATCATCTGTGTCT